CCGCTGTGCAGTGAAAACAAGAAACGTGTGGGGCCCAGCGGGGCCCTCAGGGAGAGCAGTAAAGCAACCAGTTAAGGAGGGCCACTATGGCTCAAGCTGGACTGAGCCAGCACAAGGAAGGCACGGCCAGTGTAGTGAAAAAAGAAAGTTATGCATGAAACTCGGTGACCAGGTGCAAGCAGACAACTGCTGTATCTAAGCATGTTTTCTTACATATGTGTAAGTGTATATATGTATGTATTTGCCTTGTCCTCTTTGCCAACTCTTTAACCAAGCTAGTTAAGATCTAAGATTCAAGGCCAGTGAGATAGCTCAGCGGACTAAGCACCTGCTTAGGCAAGCGCAGGGACCAGGATTCATTCCCCGGCACCACATGCCGCTGGCCCCACCCCAAGGCGCACTAAGCTTGCCACTGAGACTGGGCATGGTGGCACACACTTGTGATCCCAGTGCTGGGGAGGAGCTCTAGAAGAGTCATCGTCACTTCCCTAGGCTTGCTGATGGCTTTGTAGGCATGTACTAAATCCAACTTATGGTCTCCACAGTCTTGCCATAACTTAGAGACAGAATGTAGGTTGCAAAGACACAGGGTTTCAAAACAGGGATCTATTTCTGTGACAATCTATCACTACCCCCAGTCACAAGATGGGAAAGTATTTTTGATTCCACAATTTATAAATGAGACTCAGTACACATACTACGTATCCGATTTTTTTCATTTTCCCTATGGTGATATAATTGGTTGATTTACTAAACCTACTTTAGTTATTTCTCTTCATTCTCTTATCATAGATATGTAAGTCTGGGTTTTTATTACTTCTCATGCAGAATAGCTTGCAATGTTTTTTAACTTCCCTTACATTTAAACTTATTCATTACATTTAAACTTACCCATTTAAATTTATCCAATAGATGCAAACAGCTGCTTCATTATGCCTCCTAAAGTAGCAATTTCACATCATTTTTGTACAGAAATATATAATATTTAATATAAGTACTTCCTCCTTTTATAGTATAGTTATGCAAACACTGATTTGCTTATAAATTATGTATACAATATTATACTATCCACAAATTCAATTTAGCAATAGTAAAGAGGATGCTACAAAATGCTAGCTACAAACAGAATGCACTGAATCTGATGTGATTAAAAAAATCACTGGACTGGAAAAAAGAAATTACAGACATGATAAGTGTTCAAATTAATTAACTTATTAATAGGATATTGGCATACTGTCACCAAGAGAAATGATATGACAGAAGGTAAAAGAAGTATAATCTGTTGGAATATTCAGAAATATTAGGATGAAGAGAGAGGAATAGAAATTTTTATTAAAAATAAGGTTTCTCAGTTGCAAATAATAGCAGGGGTCCATAAACAAGACAGAACCAGAAACCTGTGGAGAATGTCTCATATCTTGAAAACCACAGGAGCTAAAAACCAGGTTCTCTGTCAGACACTGCCGTCAGGGTAGCTGACATACCAAGCAACAAAGTCAAATGTGGATAATGGAGACGAGGACAGGGCCAATGGAGGAGAAAGCTGAAGACATACGTTTCCTGCCAAGGACAACAGGTTACAAGAGAAAAGGCTGGTCCAAGGAGGGCAGGAATACACTGGACAGGGCACATGGAAAGGAAAAGACAACACAAGCAGACGGTTGAACCCTGAATAAAACATTTCATCACAGAAATTTTAAAAACCAAGGATGACTGGGAAACGAAGGCCGGCTTATTTAGAACTGTAACCCTGAAGGTAATAAAAGCAGTGAGGACCCAGGCGTGGTGGCATACACCTGTAGTCCTCAGCAGGCAGCAGGCTGAGACAGGAGGATCACTGGAAGTTCAAAGTCAGAATGGGTTGCACAGTGAGTTCAAGGCCAGCCTGAACTGCAGAGCACAATCCTGTCTCAAAAATAATAATAACAGTAATAATTTTGATGACAGCAGTGAGAAGAGTTCTCTATGGCGAACTCTGCCAAAGACAGGACAGGCTGGAGAAAGTTCTAGGACAACAGTGATGATCACACAGCAGGTGTGCTGCTGCAGCTGATGTACATAAAGCTTCTAAAAGCTTTGCCATCACTGATCTAGCAGAAAGACCTCGAGGTCCCATGCACCCGAAGCCCAGTCACCAGAGTCCTGCAGTACTTCTCCTCCTGCAAACACCACCACAAACAGCAGTGGAGGATGTGAGGGATCCGGCTGTGGCATCTGTCACTCCAGTGATGGCCAGGCCTGATCTGGCTGATCCGGCTGGCTAGGCAGGGGTCCCCTTTTCACTCACCACTCCATGTGCATCACTCCCAAAGCTGTGAGCTTGGCAGAAGAGAACACCCACCACCAATGGAAGAGGACCATTTCCTCAGCCAAGAGTATACAAGTAGCTACGCTCCCCTACAAGAGCCTCCAAACATGCTCTTGAGGGCCACAATCAGCAGGGAAAGAGGTAAATCATGCACCTGACAAGGAACCATCACCCAGAATGAAGAACTTCCACAATCCAACAATAAGACAACCAATGTACAAATAGGCACAGGATTTGAAGAGACATTTCCCCAAAGGAGATATGCAAACATCAAATACACAAATCAAAAGATGCTCAGGTCAGCGAGGTGGCACACACCTGCAATCCCAGGACTCAGGAAGCTGAAGTAGGAGGATCACTGTGAATTCGAGACCAGCCTGGGATACAAAAGGGAGCTAAAGGCCAGCCTGATCTGCACTGCAAGACCTTGTCTCAAAAAAAACAAGAACAGAACAGAACAGAACAGAACAGAACAGAACACATATTTAACATCACTATCAGGAAAATATAACTCAAGCCTTTTTTTGTTTCGTGTTTTATGTATTTGGTATGGGGTCTCACTATACAGCTGGGACTCGTAGTGATCCTCCTGTTTTCAGACTCCCCACCACGCCCAGACTTGGTGGCCCACTCGCCCAGGGCAGGGCTGGAACACACGTGCTTGCCTAAGCAGGTGATTAATCTGCTGAGCTATCTCGAGGCCCTCAGAGCTTTAACAGATAAAAAGATACCACTTCAAAAAGCAAAGGCAATAAAACTCATCATACCTCGGTTATTATGTCATTATTACCTACGCTCTTGAGGTTATTCACAGAGATTGTATCTGCCTTGTGAAATTTTTATATAAAAGTGTGCTTTTCTTCCCAACTCTGTTGCTGGTGATGTATCACAGTGGTGGCTTGAAATCAGCCACAGTGGGAGTACTTATACTATGATAGTCTCCAAATACTACAAATTAGGACGTGATTTATTGTCTCGCTTTTTCCTTAAGACGTAAAGTGGTAGAAAAATATTAATATAATGCAAGGTAAAATTAACTGTGTCTTGACTGTGGCATAAAAAGTTGAGGAAATATTCTAGTATTCAAAACCATTATTTTAGCAGAGAAGTTGCTCAATTCAACAAGAAAGAGGTGAAGTCCTCACGTGTATGCTTTTCGGTGCTTCACGTTCATCTTATTAACAAGAGTGAAGATAACATTGAACATCCTTAGTCTGAAGTCTAAACCCTAAGGCTCCAAAATGTGAATCGAGTGCTGATACACCACAAGTAGAAAATTCTACACCTGACCTCATGTGGTGGGTCAGTCAAAATCACAGTACAATAGTACTTAACTGGCATGTGTGAGCCCCTGGGTTCAATTCCTAGGACCAAAAAAAAAAAAAAAACCAAATAAACAAACTGACTACCTAATTTCAGACTTATTCCAAAGAGCTAGAGTAATCAAGACAATGTGTATTGGCTTAAGGATGAAAAATATATCCTGGTACACAGGAAATCAGACCTATCCATACACAACAGATTGCAAACCTAAAAGCAATTCAATGGAGAGAGGAAAGTGTTCAACAAATGGTACCAGGGCTGGGGAGATGGCTCAGTGGAATAAGTGCTTCACTGGCAAGCACAAGGACCTGAGTTCAATCCCCAGTTCCGCAAAAATAAAATAAAATAAATGGTACCAAAACAACTGGACAGCCATACGGTACTCGCCTCATTCAAGATGAATCAAAGACCTGAAGGCGAGAGTTAAAACTACACAGAAGCTTCAAAAGAAAACAAAGAATATCCTATCTAATTTGGTTGGTAATGAAGATATCATACAATACAAGAAGCAAACCATTAAAGAAAAAAAGATAAGTTGGACAGTATCCAGTATCTAAATTAAAAATTTCAAAAGATCCCCTTGGGAAATGGTAAGGAGAAGCCAGAGGAGAAATACCCAGTGCACATCTGCTCAAAGATCCATAGCCACGTGTAGCAAGAACTTCCAGTCAACAACCTAGATTAAAACAACCTGAACACAATTATAATAGTCATTGCCCAAGTAAAAAAGCCGATGTACACATGAAAAGGTCCACTTCAACAGCAGCAGCTGCCAGCAAAAGTACAAACCACGCTGGCCAACAATTCTACCTCTAGGTGTTCACGCAAGGACAAATGAAATACATTACAACAAATAGTTTCGTAAAAGGAAATTCATAACAGCCAAACACTGAAAACAAAGCAAATTCCTAACAATAGATAAAAAACTGTGGCATCTTCACACAATGGGATACCACCAAGCGCAAACAAATGAACCTCTGATACGTGTCACAACTCTGGAACAGTACGCCAAGTTAGGAAGCCACTCACAGAACAGGACAAATCATCTCACACACCGCTCACAAGATTTTAAAAAGGCAAAATGAAATAAGAAAAGGAGAACTAGAACAACAGCTGATGGGGAGGAGAGGTGAGCTTGGAAATGGGCACAAGTCAATCCACAAGGGCCAGGCAAGAACTTCTGTCTTAATAGGGATTTGGGTTCTACATCCATCCAAAACTGCTCAACTCATTATGAGACAGTCAACCAAAATTTGTGCATTTTATTAAATGTAAATTATACATGTACTGGTAAACTTAGTGACCATACGTAATAGCTGTGAAAATGTCATGTAATAGAAATAGTATTTTAATAAAAGCAAATAAATACCTTTGTCCACCTGCAAAGCTTCACCCCAGAGTGGCTCCCGATCAACTGATAACCTGAACAGAAAAGCAGGACACAAAATTGAACTCATTAAAGCCTTGTATCAAATAGTGATAGTAAACTAATTTAGCACAGTAATTTTTTTTCTTAAATTATGGTGGTAAACAACCCTGTAGTGGAAGACAGTAATGATTTTACTCACCATGATGAAAAACAACTTAAGTTGGGTATGTATAGAATGACACAGACTCAAAAGAAACAATGAATTAATCTAAAATCATACAGGGAGCTTTTAATCTCTCAGTATCTGACATATGTCATAGGCAGCTCTGCAAATCTGAGCACGCCCTGAAACAGCCCGGACTGAGAGTCCTGGAGCACTGCAGAGCGCTCGGTACGCAGAGGCCCACAGCAGGCCTCTGGGGTAAGGAGGTGGAACACAAGTGTCCTTTGCAAGGACTCTCAAGCGAGAAGAGGTAAGAGCTTGAAAGGAGAAACTACACTGCGGAGAAGAGGGTAAGAGCTCCAGCAATCAAAATACAAAAAAAATAAAAGGAGGTGATAAGACAGTTAAAAAGCAAGGAGAACCTGGCACAGTGGCACATTTCTGTAATGCCAGCTTTCAAGAGACTCAAGGAGAAGGGCTGCCACAAGTTCAAGGGCAGCCTATACCACACAGTGAAACCCTGTCTCAAAAAAATAGCCAAAAAAGCATGGAAAAACAGAAAGACAACACAAATAAAAGCCCAGAGCATTCCACATTGCCCACAGTGGGGGGACCAACTCTGTAGGGCAGGGCCAGCCTGGAGAGGGTGGCAGCCATGGTGGTGACAAAGGACGGGCAGCCCTCAGCACAGCAGACACTCAGGGTGTTGTAGGCTGGCAGGCCTACCCTGGAGAAGAAATCCACAGCAGCACCCACCAAATCTTAAGAGTGGTCCAAGCAGAAGCCATCTGGAGAAGGAGTTTACTGTTGTTGGAGACTGAGCTCTGGGCCTCTGGGGAAAACCCTGCTATAATGGCTACACGGGGAGCAGCCACAAGAGACAGTCATTAAGGTCACACACCATGATCGAGTTGGTTGCATGCCAGGAATGCAAAGATGGCACATCATAAATAAATCAGTAAGGCAATACTGCTTATAAATAGAATCAGGAAAAGAATCACATGATTATCTCCATTTATGAAGAAAAAGCCTTTGACAAAATTCAACATGCCTTCATGATCTTTCCTTCAATACAAGGAAAAATGTCCAACATCTATTAGAGAAATACAAATCAAAACCACATTGAGACTCTCACTCCAGACAGAATGTTTATCATCAAGAACACGCCCCCCCAAGAGAACTGCAATTAATGCTGTTGAGGACATGGGAGGAAAGGAACCCCTCTCTACTGAACACAAAATTGTAAACTAGTACAACCACTATGAAAATCAGTATGGAGTTCCTAAAAGATTATCACATAGCCCTCCTATATCACGTCTTGACATATAACCAAAGGCATTAAGGGTAGCACACTACATACAGGGCTACCTGGCTACTCTCTGTTTATTTTACAATAGCCAACCTATGGCACCAGCCTAGATGCCCATAAATACAAGAATGTGCAGTGTTAGACATGACGAAGAATAAAATTAAGTCATTCAGGAAAATGTATGGAAATGAAGATTATCACACTAAGGGAAATAAACCAGACTTAGACATGTATTGCATGTTTTCTCTCATATGTGGAGTCTCAGAAAAGAAAACTGCTATAGAATTAGTGGGGAGACTAGAAAAGAGAAAGGAAGTAAGAGATAGAGGAGGATGGCTATAAGTGAGGGTAACACAATGGATAGGACCAGAATGGTACATGCATGTACGAAAATAGCACTATTTTGTAAAATTAATAGCCGCTAGTTAAGAATATATATTTTAAGACAGTCATAGTGGTGCACATCCATAATCCAAGCACTTGGGAGGTTGAGGCAGGAAGATCACTGTAAGTTAGAGGACAGCCTGGGCTACATAGTGAGTTCAAGGCCAATCTGAACTACATGGCAAGACCCTGTCTCAAATTTAAAAAAAAAAAAAAAGTGTTGGATGTAATAGTGTATGTAGGCTGTAATCCCAGCACTTGGGAAGCTGAGGCAGGAGGATCACTGTGAGTACGAGACTACCCTGAGCTACAAAGTGAGCTCAAGGCCCACATGAACTGCATAGCAAGACCCTTTCTCAAAAAAAAAAAAAAAAAGAGAACAAATCTATTTTTGAAAAGCAACTGCAGAATAATTTTTAAAATGGGCCTGTGCTAGCCAGGAAGCTTTTTGTAACAATAAACTTCAAATGAATGCCAAGAAACTATCGTCGGTGATCTTGGAAAAGAACTTGAAGAATCAGATTGGCAATGGAACACCAAAACAATGGATGATTGACCCAAAAACAGGAAAACTCAAGTTCCAAGAACTGCAACATAATGTAAATTCTCAGTACCACATCACAACTTTGTGTTTCAAAACTCTGAGCCACATAAGACCTGAAACAGATGGCAAAAATTGTGCCAAAATAATCTCATTTTGTTTTTAAACATTTCGACTTCAGAAAACATTCAATGAAGTTTCTCGTGGGGTTTCAAACAGTAAGCCACAATTATCACGAGCCTTTTGTGTGAGACAAATGAGGCAAGGGGAGAAATACAGTGTGGATGACAGCACACATGGACCAGCGGCTGGTTTTACGTGCATATTCACAGTGATGATCAAATGAACAATGTCAATTCAGATTACAAGTCTCCAGCGGCAACATGTACAGGGCTTTGTGTTTTAGCCTCTTCCGCATTTATGTATGCATCTTGCATATGAATAAACAAAGCATCGCTGATCTACTTGAAGATGGGACTGAACCCAATGCAATAACTAATAAGCATTTTAAAGATTAGCAAGGAAAAGTCGAGTTCTTCTATTGGATTCCTATACTGGTGATGTTGCTAGCATAGAAGTCACACCCTATCGGATGAGTTAAGTCTCTCTCCTGAGATAGAGGTCTACACAATTTTGCAACAAGGTGTGGACAAAAGCCACCCTGCACGCTACAGGACACAGGATCCATGGCTGACCACGCAGCCGAGATAAGCCAAGAGTACACAGTCGCTAGCACAATTCCGCTTCCAGCTCAGACTGTAACAGGATTTGCTACTCTACCTGAAACACCAAAGAGTGGACAAAAATCTATGAAACAACAGAAATTTGTTTTCAGAAATGAAACAGGAGGCAGCAAAGGACACTAACTCCAGACAGATGGAAAACAAACAAGGTGAGTCCCAGCACTGCCAGCTTCCTGTCTTCGAAGCTTTCAGGCTGGAAGCGCAAGGAGGGAGGGGATTCTAAAGCAGAGGTGGGGGTAGTCATTACGTGGAGGGAATAGGGCTGAGCATCAGGACGGCCCAGGCACAAGGTGTACAGGTCTGAACAACAGAGAAGCTACTCCAGCAGACTCGACAGTCTGCGCAGGACTCTTCTCAGGCATTCGCCTGGGCACTGATCAGCGTGGAGGTGTGAGAAGAACTACCCTCAACTTGGAAGGAGCTCAAAGGGTCAGAGGTGTGCTGGGTGCTAGGTGCTCATAGTAGGCCTCGAGTTGTGCCTGTTCCCACCAGGTCAGAACCTGAGGTTACACAAGGGTTAGGGGTGAGAACGCAGGAGGTTTTGCTTCAGTAACGAGGAATGATCAGCTACATGAGCTGGTCCTGGTCTCATTTAAATAATAAAAGTGAGTCTCAATGCTCCAACTAATTCCAAGTAATATATATTCATCCCAGAAAAAATGTTCAAAACCGTTTATAGGAATGTTTATACAAAATTATTCAGACTTACTTATAAGATAAAGTAAGTCTGACATCCAGTTAAAGATTACTGGGAAAATGCATTTAAAAAAAAAAAGAAAAATTAATCCATCAACCAAAATTGAACCAGAAATGACATAGACATAGCATATGAGGATAAAACAGGTTAGTTGTTTTTTGGTGTTTCTTTTTTTGGTACCAGGGATCAAACTCAGGACCTGGCGCTTGCCAGGCAGGTGCTTATGCCACTGAGCTGTTTCCCTGGCTGAGGATAAAACAGTTTTAATTATATTTCATAGACCAAAACACTTTGAGATATAGTTGGGGGGTTTCTTGTTTTTTTCTTTTGGAGACAGGGTCTCACTAGGTAGTTCAGACTGGTCCTAAAATCACCACGTAGCCCAGGCTAGCCTTGAACTCATGGCCATCCTCCTGACTCCGCCTAAGTGCTGGGATTACAGGCATGCACCACCACACACAGTAAGACATAGGGTTTTTTTTAAAGCCAAATTATGCACATCATTATAGACCCTGAGGAGGGAAGACAGAAAAATATATAAAGAAATAAAGGACAAATCTTGTCTAAGTAATGAAAATCATAAATTCATGGAACCAAAAAGTTCAATAAAACACAAGTAAAAGATAGGAAGAAAACTACATTAAGACACATAATAGGTTTAGCATCTCTAATTCAAGCATTCAAAATCCAAAATGCTCTGAAAAACACTCTAAAATCCAAAGCCAAGATGATGTTCAAAATGCTCCAAATTTTGTACAACTTTGCATTTCAGTTTTCCAGATTAGAGATGGTTAACTGGTAAAATGTACAAAAAACATTAAAAAACTCAAAAAATCTCCAAGATTTGGAAGATTTATGGTCTCCAAATATTTCAAGTAAGTTACACTCAGCCTGTATAAACTGCTCAAAATCAGTAATTAAAAAAAAAAAAATCCTGAAAGTGTGGCAGTCAAGGGGACAAGTAACAGACGATGCAACAGCCAATCTCCTCAGCAGTGCGTGCCCATGGTGAAGGGACTTCTAAAAACTAAAAGGGCCAGCCAAAGAGCTCAGCAGATTAAGGCTCCTGCTTGGGCAGCACCCCGGGCACAAAGAGATGCAACTGAGAGTGGGCGTGGTGGCGCGCCTCGTAATCCCAGCTTTTTGGGAGGCTAAAGACAGGTGGATCACTACAAGTCTGACCTGTCCAATCTATATATTGAGACCCTGTAGACCCTGTATATCCTGTACTAAATACATAAAAAACAAATAAAAATTTATTCTTTCCAGCTTCCATTCTACATTCCAGAAAAAAATAAAATAAGTTTCAAAAATGAAGGTAAAATAATGCCTTTCCCATATACAGAGAGCTGACCTAATTCATTATCAACACAAACTCCAAAAGGAAGTTTACCAGACAAGCAGCCCAGTGGTCTGGCCTGGCTTCTAACCCCAGTACCCAAAAAATTAAAATACGAAAAAAAAGGATTTGTCTTTGGGCCAGGACGTAGCCTGGTAACAGAGCATGTGCACAAGGCCCTGGTTTTGATCCTGGTGCCACCAAAAAACAAACAAACAAAAAAAAAAGGTATTAGATGGAACACACAGAGGCCATGGCAAGTGGTCCCCACCTGAGTAAACATGTAGGATTCATTCTTCTAGAAGATTTAAATGACCACTAGAATGATTTAAATGCCAGGGATTACACTCAGGACCTCCCACAGGACAGCCACACACTCTACCACTGAGTGACAATCCCAGCACAAGATTCTCCCTATTGATGTAAATTCCTAAAAGACAACTGGCTGTTTAAAAACAACGAAGTAGTGTAGGGTTTATAACACATATAAATTAAAACGTATAATAAAAATTGCATAAAGTTTGGAAGGGAAGACGGAGGTACGTCTCCCTAAGGTTCTTCTAGTACACATAAAGGGATGGATGACAGGCTGGGTGTCCTTTATCCTAAAGGTCTGGAGGCAGAAATGTTTTGAACTCCAGATCTTTTCAATTTCAGAATATTTTCATAGATATACCTTGAAGACAAGCCAAGTGAAACGCCAAGCCCATGGACGCGCACACACAGCCCGAACGTGATGCTGGGTGAAGTCTGGACAGCGCCTGCATATTGACTTCATCCCACCTCTCATGCGGGCAGGTGGAGATTTTCCAGGGTTTGGTCACACTGGTGCTCACAAAAGTTTGAGACTTTTTGAATTTTGGATTTTCAGATTTGGAATACTAAACCTTTTCCACTCAAAGACATACTTTGATATGATAAAGAGGTGTAACATAAAATCTCAACCAACCATTACATTCAAAGGTGTTAAAGTTCATAAGATAGCAAAGGTCCAATATGGAATCATAAGAAAAATATCCAATTAATCTAAAAAAGGACAGAAGAAATTAGAAACTAAAGAACAAAAGAAATAGATAGAAAACAAATAGCACAATAGATTGAAATCCATCATAAAATCACCTTAACATAGTCTACCCAATTAAAAGGCAAGTTATACAAAAATATGGGGCTACATCCTCTACCAGATTGATGGTTCCTGGGAAGTGAATCTGTGTCCTGGTTTCTCTGCATCTCAGAACTGTCAAATAAAAAGGCCCTCAAAAATATAGGGGGTCAGGCCAGGCATGGTGGAACACATCTGTAATCCCAGCACTCAGGAAGCTAAGGCAGGGGTATAGTTGTGAGTTCAAAACCAGCTACAAGGTGAGCTCCAGGCCAGCCTGAGCTGCATAGCGAGACCTTGTACCAAATACATTAAAAAAAAAAAGAAAAAAAAAAAAAGCTGGGGATGTACCTCAATGTGAAAGCCCTGAGTTTGATCACTAGTATGAAAGCAGAGACAGACAGACAGACAGACACACACACACACACACACACACACACACGAAGGAAAAAAAGGATAAATGAATGGGGGAAGGGAAGACACCAGCAAGCATAAGAGCGCAGCCCTGGAGCACCAGCGCTCAGCATCTCACCTTGCTTAGTGAGGGCCTCTCGGAGAGCAGGCGTTATCATAGCTCTGCCCTCGCTGTCGTCACCCTTCCTCGTGTTCCTGAACAAAGAAGTCTTTTCTTCCTGGTGGTCCTTTTCTCCCTGCATTAAAATAAGCATGAAACCACAGTTGCTAATGTGCGAGGAAAGCACACCCCACCAGAGGCACACCGAGCACCAACACAAAAGGTGCGTGTGGACCGTGGCTACGTCCCATTCTCACAATCACATCTCCAGTTAGACAATGATCATTATTCAAAAACCAACCTAATGAAACACACAGATCCACAAAGCATAAATCAATCCACTCTCTTTGGGGCAAACATTTTTTACAATCTGAGCACGGGCAGCTGCCTAACTTGGGCAAATTTACTTATTTTCTCTGAATTGTAATTTCCTTCCCTGAAAAAAGGAACAAAACGAACATGTCTCGGGAGCAAGAGTGTACTGAAAATTAAAGGAAATGAATTCACCTGGCACAATGACTGACATAATGATACAGGTTCCATAAATTGCAGGTACTCCTACAATTACTTCCAAAAGCACCAATAACAAGTGCCACACTGCATGGAGCTGTAAACAGTCACCTCCTCAGACCAAGATCCCCCCACCAGCACCATATCAATGGCCCTTTGAGAAGTGCTTCCCACAGGTAGTTCTAGCACTATGGGAGCCTGAGGCAGAATACTGTTAAGTTCAAGCCCCACTTGGGAAACTGAGTGATTTAACAAGACCTTGTTTCTAAATAAAATTTAAAAATTAAAAAAAGCTGGGCAAGGGCCAGCCAAATAGCTCGGTGGATTAAAGTGCCTGCAAACAGGTGCAAAGGCCTGGGGATCAAACCTAGAATTACCCATGGAAGCTGCCTTGCCGGCCCCGCCCCCAGGGTGTGCTGAGATGACAATTGGAACTGGGCATGGTGGTGCGCGCCTGTAATCCCAGCTCTTGGGAGGCTGTAAACAGGCAGATCACTATGAGTCCGATCTAGTAGTGAGACGCTGAACACCCTGTAGACCCTTCCCTAAAATACAGGGAAAAAAAACAACTGGGCAGGGCTGGAGAGATAGCTCAGCAGTCTAAGCGCCTACGTGGCAAGTGCAAGGACCAGGGTTCGATCCCCAGTACGACATGGCATGCTGGTCCCAAAACTGGGCATGGTGGCACACACCTGTAATCTCACAGCTGGGGAGACTGAGACAGGAGAATCACTATGAGTCTGAGCTGCATAGGGAGACCCTGCCCCAAATAAATAAATAAATGAATTATTAAAAAAAATAAAAAGCTGGGCATAGAGCTCAATGTGAAGGTCCTAGGTTCAACCTACTTTTTTTTTTTTTTTTTGGCAGAACTGGGGATTGAACTCAGACCCTTGACGCTTGCCAGGCAAGTGCTTATTCTACTGAGCCATCTTCCCGGCACCGGTTCAAACTAGTTTTAAAAAAATAATAAACCCATGGGGGAAATTTCTCTCCAGTGAAAGTAAAAGATGTTTTAAGAAATCTGGACACTGTAAAGCACTGCATTTACTTTGACCTTGGCAGCGCTCATCTGCACACTCCGAAATGGCTCCACCTCACGTATGTTTGTCTTTTAATTGCTCTATTCCTCTTCCTTACGAGGTGATCCTCATTCCCCTTCCTCCCTTTTCCAATGTTTAAACTCCCTTGACATCTTAATGACAGATGGAGAGTCTAGAACCTCAGAGACAACATGCAAAGCTTGTGTTACACGTGAGAGGAGTCACTCACCAAATCCTCAGAAAGGCACAGATCCAAACTAAGGCACTTGGCAGCTCCGCAACCCCGCCCCAACAACCCTCCATCAGTACTGGCACTTGAACTCGGGGTCTTCACAGTGAGCTACATCCCAGTCCTTTATTTTTTTTTTTTGTTATGTCGAGACGGGGTCTCACTAATTCGCTAAATGGCCCAAGCTGGGTTCAAATTAGTGATCTCCTGCTCAACCTCCCAGAGTGCTGGGATTGCAGGTGTGCACCATGACATTGGTTTTGTCCATTTTAAATGTCCAACCATCCAAAAGAGATGTAGGGAAGGGAGTGAGGGAGCGTGGTACAAGGTTGAGGCCTGGCCCACGGGCACCGCTCATGAGGGGACATATTAGTCACTCTGACGCCTTTGTGACTAAGCCAAGGTCCCACACATAAAATGCAAGATAAAAGTTCTGAAAATAGTGCACAATACAATGTGCGCCGATGAAATTTGGGACTGATTTCTCTATCTTCCCTGCTAGTTCGAGGGCATTTTCTGAAATAAAGCCAATAAAAACCACTTAGAGAATCAAAGGCACCCCATGAGCAATGTAAACTCACACTAGGTCCTACCTGTCCTAAAAGGCAGCATTCCAGGTTACTAAATATGACCCAAGTGCACAGCAGACAAGAATTCACTTCTGGTAACAGAGCTTTTCACTACACACATCCAGATGGAGCTGAAGAACTTTATACACAGCAACAATTTGCTCTTACTGATTATAAAAATAATCAAGTTACTACTATGCATTTTCTAGAAATAAAAAGCCTTCAAATTTTTGGGTGTTGGCTTCAGTTTTCCGGTATACTAGGGATTGAACCCAGGGCCTTCCTGCAGCATCCCTACCCTGGTTTGGCTTTGTTTTACTTTAATTTTGAGACAGGGTCACACCAAGCCACCAAGTTACCCACACCAGGCTCAAACTTGCCATCCTACTGCCTCAGCCTCTCAGGGTGCTGTGATGACAGCCGTGACCCACCATGGCAGGTTCTATTTAGTAACATGCTTTAAAACAGAAGAAATCCTTGGTTTCGTAAAAACCACCTATTTCAGCCCTAAAAGCGAAGGTATGAGCTTGCCCAAGTCTCCAGGTAGAGGACAGAACTCATCTTGGCCCTGAGGGCACCGAAATACCTGTGAAGTCACTGCGAAAGTTACTGTCCTTCCTCTCCTAACCACACAAAAGGCCCCAGGAGCAGCACAGCTGGGCCCGGAGAGCCTGCACACAGCACAGCACCACCAGGCTGTTTCTTTCCCCACCGACCTCATAAATCCCACACTGGGCGTGGCCCGCTGTGACACAGAAACACTGATACCTGGGAAATGAACGTGCCTCTGCAACAGCCTCATCACAGCATCCTCAGCCACAAGGGAAGTGATCTGGTGTAAAGTGTGAGTGCTGCCAACCCAGATCCAACCGCAGAGGCCCTGTGAAGCCCCTAAGCACGAGCCCTGCGGACAGTGACATCCATCAGTCACCACTTCCGCAGGTCTGGCAGTCTCCCCTGAAGAGCAGGAACTCAGCCCCGGAAATGCCCACACATTCTTATCCAGGCCAGTCTCTGGCGGGCCCTCCTGTGGCTGCATCCAGAACAGAGCGCTTTCTGCTCTAGGGCTTGCCCGACTTTCACCCCAGGTCAGGCCCAGGCCTGGAGGTGTCAAGCCGGCACCTTTCCTGTGCGTCCAGCCCACACCTGGCCCTCTCCCTCCCAAGGCCTGAGTTCCTCCAGAGGGATGAGGGCAAGGTCAGGCTAAGGCAGTGCCTGTGTCCCTATGTGTACCCCTCCCTCCCCACCCTTCCTAGGAGTGTCGAAACAGAGCTCAGGTCCTCTCCAAGGTGCAAAAGGAAATCCAAGGATAAGCACGGGGAAGACAGCTACGAGTCAGAAGAAAGCACCAGCAACTGAATCTGCTGCCAAGGGAAGAAAACGCTGCTCAGTCTCCGGCTATCGTGTAAAGCTGTACAGTCCAACAATTTCACCTCACACCATCCCAGGAACCACGGGACTATCCCAAGTCTGCCCATGATGAAAGAAACACCAAAATGTATGTTAAAGACTTTATAGGAAAAGCCTCACCACGCTGGGTACGTCAAACAGGTGTCATGCGACACACAGGCTTTTCGCTGCCCCAGTGTCCGAGGCTGCGGGGAGACAGGCCCCCTGGTTGTCTCTGATTCTTGTGGATAATCAGGCCACTCCCCCGCTTATCAATCATACAGAAGACCCTGGATCCAGCATCCTCAGCTGAGTACGTGAATAAAGGTCTCCACACTAGCAGACAGCTATTTCTAATCTCCAGTAACTGATTCTAGATCTGGTAATTTTCAGTACTAAAAACTGTTGTGCCGAGGATAATGGCACACACCTGTGATCCCAGCCACTGAAGAGGCCAAGGCAGGAGGACTTCCAAGTTCAAGGCCAGCCTCGGTAACACAGCGAGATCCAGTCTTAAAATAGAAAAATAAATACTTACCCAAAAAAACTACCCTCAGTTTTAGTTCAGCCAAAACTCCTGCTACAATTTAATCCCATGTCCTCGGGCTCCTATTTAACAAAGCCCCAGCCAACCACTCCCTTGACATGGCTGGAGTTTAAAATGAGGGATTTCACCAGGACTCAAAACTCCATGCATATACTAGGTTTTAAGGAAGCTTCTTGACCTCGCACAAAAGTCTGACCAGTGCAGAAGCTGCACTCACAGAGCAATTCTATCCTGGACACCTGACTTAAGGAAATAATTTCAGAACCCAGCGCTGAGCGCCCCCGGCTGCGCAGGCCGAGACCTAGTGGAGACGGTTTGGAGGCAGAACGCTGGGGAGCAGGCACGGCATCTTTTGTTTCTGGGTGCATTAAATACTCAAAGTCTTAAACAGTCCTAGAAGTAGCTTCATCTTAACCCACTGCATGGCCAGTGTACTTTATAATCAGAACTGGACATGCTTTCCTAATTAATTACCCGCTGAACTGGAAATGTTTCTCCGCTGAGCAGCTCCAAAGCGTTTGCCATTTGTTTCCCAAACAGTGATGCTGCTGTTGCTGTGTGTCTGCTCAACCAGAACCTGCTAGAGTATCTGCCCACAGCTGCTTAGTAGAGGAAGAAAAGTGGCAGCAAGCTTTACAGTCACAAATCACACCACCAGGGAAACAGCTGTCAGGCTCCTCCAGCCTCCTCTACCACTCACACAGAGCTGCCTTCCAGGGGCTTCTTCCACCTTGGAGGGCAGCACAGGCTGACGACTCAAGGAGACGGGGTCCCGGCTTTGGTCACTTAGCAGCCGCCTAAGTATGAGCACACTGCTCCCCACCCAAAGCCTCGGTGACCTCCACCGAG